AGCGGCTCCCCGAGCCCTGGCAGGGGTTGAAGGGGTCGGCGCGGAGGTTGGGAGCCTTCGGGAGGGCGAAGGGACGTGGGGGATGCGGAGGATTCGGGGGAGATTCTTGCGTGCTGGGGGAGGAAGCAGAGGGATCGTGGAGTGGCTGGGAGCTGGGAGGAGGTGAGGGATTGTGGAGACAGGGAATGGGGTGGAAGGCACCTGAAGGCCCTTCCCATAACAGCCCTGCCGTGGCAGGGACACCTTCCACAGCCCAGGGTGCTCCAAGCCTCGTCTGAGCTGTCGAGGTCACTGCAGGTGTGGAGGAAAAGAAGGATCCAGAGGCAAAGGGAGGAATATCCCTTCCCCAGAGCGTGTTCCAGGACAGATGGACAGCGTTTGGTGCTGTGATCCCAGCGATGGGGAGCAGGGAGGCAGCTCCAGGCTGTAGGCGTGGGCCAAATCCTGGCAGCTGAGGCTGCTGCACAGCCTGGCTGGAAGAAAGGAGCCAGTTATAAATACCTCCCTCAAGTCTGTTTTGACTCATTCGAGCACGGATTAATTTTAGGCACACCAAAACAGCTCCATCGTGTGTTGTTTTTTGTTGGTTTTTTTTTTTTGGAGGCTGCTGAGATCGTGGCTGACTTGTCACGTTTGTACGGTGGGGAGAATCGTTTGATGTTTGTGTAGGAATTCTGGGATGCTGCTGGGGATCAGCTGCTGTGGTGGTGTCACAGAATCACACAATGGTTTGGCTTGGAAGTGACCTTCAGTCTCATCCAGGGCCACCCCCTGCCTCGGGCAGGGACACCTTCCAGTGTCCCAGGGTGTTCCAAATCTTGTCCAGCCTGGTCTTTGAGGTCTTCCCTTCATCTCCTCTAATCTGGGAATATTAGCACCGCCTCCATCCCATCATCTTCCTCCAGACTCTGCTTTGCCTTGATGCCTGCAAAGATTTGGATAAAAATTAGGTTAAAACCTGTACCCCAGGTGTCATGAGAGAGTGGCACATACATCAGAAACAGAGAGGAGTTTGTTTTCCACGAGGTGTTTCCTGACAAAACCTTATTTCCGCAGGGGAAATGCGATTGTTTTGGAATGTGACTCGGTTCCAAGCACTGTCAGAGTGGAGAGACTAAAGAGTCATTGTGGGGTGATGTGAGAGGTGAATAATGGGAAATGTGGTCACTGCCACTCATCCCAGTGCTGTCCCCAGCCTGTCAGGTGTCACTCTGAGCCCAGGCATTATTTTTAGATGTGCAAGGCTGACAATTGTTAGATGAGTTTATTTAGAAGGATGGGTTTAATGTGAGTCCCTCAAACTGGTAGGAGACATCTCATGAGGAACAGGATCCTTTCCTCTGTGCCCCAGGCAGCAGCTGAACGGGGAACGTGCGAGTCCCCAGCAGCTCAGGGGGCTGGAGACATCCTGCATTCATTTATCAGGTGTTGCTGCTTTTTTGGGTGCCTGCAGAGGACAAAGCAGAAGGTAGATCAGTGAGCTGATCATTTATATTCTCCTGCAGGAAGAGGAGAAGGAATGGTAATGAAGATGATGGTCACGTTCCCCAGACCAAACGTAGCACCAGGAACACTGTCCTCCAGGACTCGTGGGACACTGAGGTGAGAGCCTTCCGAGGCAAACCCAGCCTCCTTCCATGCTGCATTTCAGCAGCAGTTGGAATATCCTGTGCATTTCTTTCATTGTTGTTTCATGGCTTTGTGTTTGAGGTTGTGAGGTTTGACTTGGTGACATCAGAGATTGAAATCAGGACTTAATCAGTTTGGAAATCAGCATTTCCAGTGAGCCTGGTTATCCCTGGCCTGAAGATTTCTGGGAAGAAATTCCAAATCCTGCTTTGCAGCACCCAAAGAAATAATTTCCTGCTGTTTCTGGTTTTGCTGTGTGGGATGAGCTGTGACCAGAGCTGGGGAGATGCTGAGGGTGGATGTGACCCTGTGCTCACTCTGCCTGACCATCAACTTTGCCTTTCCTTACAGTCAGGTGATTATTTGTGGGAGAAAGACAAAACACATTCCAGGCAGGCCTTATCTGATGTGGAAAAAATGCTCTGGTAGAGCTGCTCAGTTTAAGCAAGACTTGTTCACTTAAGCTAAAACACTCAAACTCAAAACTCTTTGTGTTTTTTCTCATATTTTCCATGATTTTTTGCTGGATGTGGGATAAACTCTCTTGTTTTCTTACCCCTCACCAAACAGGTGTTCTCTCTGTGCAATTTGAGATTTTTTTTCTTAAAAAAAAAGGAATTGCTGATTTCTCAACTGCTGCCAGATTTCCTGAGATGTCACCTGGGTGAATCACCTGAAAATTCACCGTGAGCAACGTCCTTGTGTTGCAAAACATTCATGGAAAAGAGGGTGCAGAGCAGAGACTCCCTCTCTGAAGCTAATGAAATGAATGAAATTAATTTCTTTGAAAGTTTTGGAAACATCCTTGGCTTTTTAGAGCCTCCTGACTTTGAAGGTGGATTGTAATGAGCAATTACAGTCTGAATTATTACAGAACTAACCCAATCATTCAACTATTAATTGTACTTGGGAGAAAATATTTAGTTGCTGTGTAATTTTGAGCTCTTTTATAATCTGGAAACAGTTTCCAGTGGATATTTCTACATTCCTGTTGCGAGGGAGACTCTCTCTTAACCTGTACAAGTGGATTATGTGTTAGGACACTGCTGGAAATGCTCTAAGAGCTGCTGTCCATCATGAAGGAATCCTCTGGGATGACAACTGCCTCGTGCTGCTGTGTTTTCAGGAGGGAGAACTTTGCATTTTGGGGTTGTGCTGGGGAGAAGCAGCCCCGGTTTGTTGCCATCTGACACTGAATCACTTGTCCAACAGGTCAAACCCCTCCGTGTGTGTAGAGTAGTTAAAGGCTAAAGCAGCTTTGTGGCGGGAGGAGGACGGATTTAGTGTGGAACAAGGGATTGAAGTAGGAGTAATGAAATTAAGGATATGAGGAAAACCCCCTGATGGTGAGTGGCAGAAGCACCTTTGCTTGTCGTGTAAACACCTGGTGTTTGGGCAGAGCCACTAAAAGCAGGACTGGCAGCGGGCTTGTGGCCACACAGGAGGGGTGGCCTCAAGCTGGCCTGGTTTCCTGCAGGGGAACAGCACGGGCAAGGTCACTGCTCAGCCTAACAGAGACTCTGCTTCTTGCATGCACTTGCCTGCTGAAAGTCTGGTTTTAACACATCAAACCCTGCTGTGAGGCAGGGAGGAGCTCTCACTGCTGAGGAACGTGGACAAAGCTCCTCAAACAGCCCCATTCTCCAGCAAACAGAATTCCCAATGTTTTCTCCTGATGAATAGAGCTTTTTCTTTTTGGGTTTTTTTTTTTTTTTTGGCTTGTTTTCTTGTTGGATCCCTGAACTGAGCATGCTCAGAAATTCAAGCCACGAGATTAAATCTGTATTATTCCAACATTTGGTTAAGGACTTCCTGTGCCAAAGGGAGAAATCCTCGTGCTCACCGTGCACGAGTGCTTCCAGTTGGTGCCGCTTGGAAAGTCTCAGCCAGTTTGGAACACTTGGATTTAGTTTCCTGGTATTTTGCTGTGTGCAAAGACACCTCTTGCTGGTTCAAAATCCCCACTGGTTTTGGGATATTCCCTGGGAAAGGGGGAGTGGGAGCAATTTGTGACTTCCAAGAGCATGTGAGAGTCTCTTTTCATCGCAGGGCGTCTCACACCTGCTTTTTGTGAAACATTACCTGAAGTCCTGATTCCTCTGGCTGGTTTTGGTTCAGACTGGCTGTTCCCTCTTGCAGAGCGAGGCTGCTTTGAGAACACAACCTCAGGATGGCAGCTGCATTTTAAACAGGACTTGGCTTTTGGCAGGATCTCTTCCCACTTTTTTTTGTCTTGCACGTTTTGCCCTGGAGAACAAGGTGAAGGGAGGTTTGTCCTTAGTGGCAGTTGGGAACTGGGCTGTTCTGTGATCCCTCACTTTGAGTCCCACTGCTTATCCAAATCACACCCAATTCCAAAGGATTTGCTGTTTTGTCCCTCTGGATTGTCCTTTCACCCAGGACAGGCAGCACCCCAGTTTTCACAGGATGGAAACAGATTCTCTCCAGTCTCCATCAGTGCTGCTTTTTGGCCAGTTGTTGTCAGGATGTGCCATTCCTGCTGCTCCTGGAGGAGCCACTCCCAGGTTACAGCCACCCTGAGGGTGACAGAAACCTCTGCTCTGGGCTCAGGCCATGGACAGGCACAGGCAAGGGGCTGGAGCCACAGCCAGTGTTAAACATTAGCGAGGCAGAGCCTTTGCCACGGAATTTCGCTTCCTGTTCAGCCTGTGCTCCCTTTTCCAGGAGCTCAGCTGGGTTGTTTGCCCTGTGCTTGGTTAGAAATCCATTGCTGGTCCCTCAACCAAGCTAGGAGAGGTTGGAGTGGATCCTCCAAGGGGATCCTGCTGATGGGAATGCTGAGATTCCCAGCTGTGCTCTGCAGCCTGGGGAATCATCACTGCAAACCGTTTGCTCTCATTTTCTGAGGGAAGGAAGCGAGTCTGAGTGTTCTGGCTGACCCTTTCCTTCCTGAATAACTGCTGCAAAGCCCAATTTCTTGCAGTTCCTCTTTATTCTGGCCAGGATTGAAACACCACCGGGTTCTTGGCAGAGATCAAATCGAAGTTCTTGTCCCCCAGTGTCCAGGGAAGGGCTGCTCTTCAGTTCCCACTAAAACCAGATCGTGGCTCTGTTCAACTCATCTTGGAAGATGTTGAGAGCAGCAGGGGCTGAGTGGCTCTTTCTCCAGTTCCTGTCACGAGGGATTGTCTCAGATCTGCACATTTAACAGAACATTTGTTTGTTTTAAAACTTTTAAAGTGTGATGTTAAGGGTCAAAGAGCCCAGTAAACCTTGAAGATGCCCTTCTGATAGTTAAAATACTCATAAATGTCACTGGGCTGCTTTCCTTTGCCCCTGTAAAGCTTTGTTGATGCCTGTTTTGCTGACTCGATGACTTTAAGGATTCTTTTCTTGTCTGATTGTAGTCCAAATGCGTTACAGAATGTGCACCACAGCCTGGGGACACGGTAGGTGTTCCGTGGGATGTGGGCAGTGCTGAAGGGGTGCCAGTGCTAGTGAATCTTTGCCTTAGAGAACTGGAAATCAAGAGGGTCTGACAAACCCCATCTGTCCCAGGACACGCTGCCAGCTTCACAAACCTCCGAAATGCACAAAATAATCACTACTAACAGCTGGAAAACGCCTGTTGAGATGTGAAACGTGAGCAGCAAGCGAGGCCAGGTTCTCATTTGGATTTTTACCTTGATTTGCAGAAGGTGGCTGTAACGAAGCTCACTAAGGAGCGCAGACTAAAAGGAAACAAAGTGTCCTGTGCGGTGGGTTTCTCTCCGAGGCTGCTGTGACCCCTTCCAGCATCGCGTGTGACTCTTTGTGCTGCTCTGCAACAGCAGCTGCGCTGCCCAGCACCACCCCCAGCTCCTCCCTGTCCTCCCGGGGCTCTCTCCCTCTCTAGATTAAGGAAGAGGAGCTGGTTGCTCCCGTAGTTCCATCTGTGCTCCCTCGGGAATGACCCCGCTGTGTGTTTCTCTCTCCTCGCAGCCCGGGGCCCTTGGCTTGGCTTGCTGTGCTCCCACAGAGCTGAAGCATTTTTGGTGCTTAGCGAAACAAAGGAATTTGTCAGGGTTGGATGGTCAGGATCGATGGTGGATCAGAGCTGGGGGGGAGGGTTGTGTTCCACCCCAAACATCCGCAGTGCCTCCCTGGGCCCTGCAGCACTGCTGGGTGCAGTTTGTACCGCTCCTGATTTACTCCAGGGGAGGCCCTTCTGGAAGTGGTGCTGACTGGTAAATTCCTGAGGATCCCGTGAAATTTGTCCTCTTCTGCTGTGGCCACAAAGCTGTGACTTCTGTGGCTCAATTCTTACAAAAATGTCTATTTTTTTTAGCTGCTGTCACTTTTATGAATCATTTATGGGGTGTCAGAATAGCCACTTGCTGATTGACTCACCCAAATATTTGCAGCTCACACAAACTAAAATATTCCATCTGGAGCTAATGGAACCTTTCCTTAGCAACCCTTAAAATGGTGTTTTCTGTCTTTGAATCCCTTATGATGATGGCAAATGCTCTTCCAGCCATTCCCATGAAATGTGGTTGTCCTAAATGCTGGCAAATGAGCCCTGGCCTCTTATTCCAATCAAATGCTGAGTTCTTTTTGCTGCATGAGGAATTCCTTGGTGCCTGTTGCTCTTTCACAGTCACGTCAAGTAAATTGGTGTGGAATTGCTGTGGAACACTTCCAGTTAACCCTGCCACAGAGAACTGGGAGTATTTGATGTTAGGGTGTTCAAAGACTTAAAACTGGGTGTTGTGTGCATTTCTTTCTCACAACCTCTTGCTTTGTATGCTTCAGATCTCATTTGAGGATTGCCTTGTAGGAAAATGCTTTGCATGGTGCCTCCCTCAAAGCTCTGCCCTGCCTGCCTGGGAATGTCATTTTCCAATTCTCGGATCACTGCAGCAAACTTCACTAGTGCAAACGTGGGGTTGGGGGCAGAGCTGGAGGGTTTAACTGGGAAGGATTGAAATGCTGGAACACCCTGGAGGTCACTGAACTCTGGGTGAAGGCTTTGTCCCTTCAGCTCTGTGACACCGGTGTGGGCAACAACAACCTCTCCGTGCCAAGGTGGATTTATTCAGTCCATCAGGCTGGGAATGTGGAAGGGAGGGATTTATCCTAAAGGTTTGCTTCTGTGGGGTGAGGAAGAGGTGTCTGATGTTGCTGTTCACCCTCTGTGTGTCCCAGTCCTCCAGCAGTGACAGTGGGAGCAGCAGCAGCAGCAGCTGTAGCAGCAGCAGCATCAACAGCCCTGACAGAGCAGAGTCCAGCCTCAACCCCAGGATTGCAGGATCCAGCCCTGTCTCTTCCCAGCCCTTCCACGAGCAGTCTGCACTAAGCCAAGGTCCTTACTTCCACATCAACCAGATCCTGAAGGAAGCCCACTTCCACAGCCTACAGAGCCGGGGACGCCTCCCTACATGATGACCCAGCAGCTCCCTGCCTTCTGTGAAGGGACAGCACTGTGTAGATTTGATATTTCAACTTCAAAGTTTGTTAAAATGGAATTGCACAAAATTGCCTGTTGCCTTTTCAGTCTATATTTGAAATAACAGGTTAACAGGAGATTGTTTACTTGTGGTTTGCTGCACTATTGCAATGCAAAAGGGGCTTTGGAGCAATTTTTATAGGATTCTTTTTGGGGTGGTTCTAAAGTACGTGGCAAGAGGAGACTGAGGAGTCCACATGTGTGTTATAGGATTGCAAACTGTCCAATTCCAATCGACTGCCTAATCTGTTTGTTAGCAAGTTGTTGCTTTCTGTAAAGTTCTCTTAAGCGTTCCTCTTCAGTTTTATAAGTCTTTTTTTAATTTCAATAAACTAGTTAAAAAATGATTTGGCAACATAATTTTTTGAGCATTTAGAGTTAGTGAGAATAGGAGCAGCGAGTGCAGGTCCTTTAGGCCTGTGAGCTCCCACCCAGCTCGGGGTGAGTTCTCTGATGAGCTTCACTGCTGCAGGACTGGAAGGGAAATGTGAAATTAGAGCCAGGACAGGTCAGGCAGGTGCTGCAGGGGCCACTCAGAGCAGAGTGGTGGTGCCTGGAGGCTACAGGTGTCCTACCCTGCTCCAGCACCCCTTTCCAGCTCTGAAATGTTTTCTCTTAGTGTGTAGCTTGTTTTGGCTGGTTTTTATTATTTTTTTTTTTATTTCTTCAATTTGATTTCAACAATATAAGGATAGGAGGTGAAAAAGCAGCTCCACCTCTGTTCCAGCAGCCAGGGGACAAGGACAATCCAAGCTGTGCCTGCTTCCTGTGACACGCCCTGCTCTGCCCGAGGATGGGAAGCACTGACAATCCCGGAGGTGTCACCGCTCCTGCCAAGGGGACAGAGAGATCTCAGTGAAGACAAACACCCAGAGCAGGTTTATTGTTTGCTGCCTCACTTGGTCATGCCCGAGAGCCAGCCCAGCTTGAAGAGGGACGGTGCCGCCGCGTCCTCGTCGTCGGTGATGAGCTGCCGGAACAGGGAGCCCGGGCGCGCCGCCTCGTCCTCTCTGGGCAGCACAGCGGCTGCAGCCGGGCCCTTTGGGGACACAAAAGTGACTCTGACCATTGCAGCACCCCCGGGGCTCCCTCTGTCCCCTCAGAAACATGAGCTGCCAGGTGGAGCCGCGGTACAAACGCTCCGGGCAGGCAGCCGGAGCCGCAGCCAGAGCGGTGGCGCTGCTGGGTTAGTGACAGACACACACGGGGCCACCTCTGGGGGCTGCTGGTGGCAACAGGCACTTGGCAGATGTCACTCAATGCTCACAAAACGCCTGAACAGTCATCAAAACCCTCTGAGCAGCAGGGCAGGGGCTGCTGCGCTCACAGCAAGGGATCACAGCGTAGTAGAAACACAGCTGGTGCCCTTGCAGGAGCTTTTTTTGAGAAGTGCAGATTTTAACCTCTCCAGAGGAGTTTTAGCATTGAAGAAGGAGCAAGCATCTGTCAGGGATCCTGGGATGTGGCTAGCACAGGACACGGGTGTGCTGAGCACAGCACAGCAGCTGAGGGGAGTGACAGAACGAGCCAGACATCACTGCACACTTCTATGCTCTAGTCGGGGTGAGCTGTGAGAGGTAAGGAATACCTTCACTGGGAAGTTCTGGGCTTTCAAACACCCCTTCTGCTGGGTCTGGTCCTTAATGGCTCTGAGTAATGGAGAGCTGCAAATTGAACATCATCTCAAATGACACTGGTAAAAAACCAGGCTCTTGACAAGACCCAACAACTTGTCCCAGTTGCCAAGACCACCAGAGATAGATTGGGCTGGTAATAAGTAAAGGAAACATTAATTGCTGCTTGCCACAGCAGTGAGGTATTCCTTGGCTCTCACCCAGCACACAGAGCTCCATCTAAGCAGATGTTTTAAACTGGGGGAAACGGAGCCACAGAGAGATTGGCTGCTACAGCTCAGCAGCAAGGAGAGCAGCAGGACACTCCTCACACAGCTGGGGTACCTGGCCAGGCCTCCTCGGGGCTTACAGGGCAGCATCCCACTGGAAAGGAGTCCAAGCATTAGCTACTGTCCTTCAGCCTTTCCTGCAGCCCTATTTAATGAGTTGTCTCTGATGCACTGCCCTCACTGCCTGCTCTGCCACAGAGCCCACGGTTTTGGGCAAAGGGTGGGGGTTTGGAGGGTCCTGGGGAAATCCCCCCCATCCCCTGCTGTGCTGCCATAATGATTCCTTTCACTGAAAATAAAAAAATCAGGTGAAATAATGTTTGGCTGTTTTCTTCTTTCCCCACAAAATCGAGTGTTGGGGGGGACAAAGAATACTGGGAAAATATTCCTATTTTTACAGTTCAATTCAAACACCAACCTGGGCTCTTTCTGTGCTCCTGGCACTGGACTTGCTCTTCCGTGAGCTCGACATGCTCAGTGGCAACAGTCCAAACCTTAAGGAATGGAAGAAAGAAATGTGGGAAATGTGGGAAGCAGCTTCCCAGAGGCAGGAGAGCGTCTGGAAGAGGCGGGTGCCTCACCTGATCTGGCTGGATGCTAAGGGCAGGATGTTGTGGAGCTCCTGCGAGCTCAGAGCGCCGCCCCTGCTCGTGTACTGGTTCTCTGTCCCAGTCAGCAGGCCAAAGAGAACCTGGAAGGCACCAGAAGCTGCTTGGATTTGGGGAAGAAAAGCTGGAAGGTGCCAGGAGCTGTTTGGATTTGGGGTTCCTGCAGAGTTGACCCCTCAGTACGTGGCGAGTCCACTGACACACCATCAGCACTGAGCTTGAACATGAAGTGTCTCCCTTCCCCCTCCCAACTCTTGTGTTTAATTATTCCCACAGCTGAGTCCCAGACCTGTTTCAGCACTCCTTAACCCGATTAGTGTTGCACAGGCTGCAGTGAATCCTGTTAGATAAAGTTCAGCCAGCCGCACACGCGGGGCCGTGCGGCCGGCTCAGCCAGCTCCTCTTATCTGCAGCTGGCACTGAGCGCTCTTCCCCCTTCCAAGCAAGTGCCAGTGCTTATCTTGAGGCATTCAACAGTTTAAAGGCACCCCCAGCTGCCCTGCTGGAGGCATTTGCAGCCCTGCTCCCTGCTCCAGCCCTGCTCCCTACCGAGGTTCTCTGCACCAGGCGGTTCAGGTTGCTGTTCAGGTGTGGGGTGAAGACATCCAGGTCGAAGGGATCGATGTGTCCCTCCAGGAAGTCGATGACCTTCTCAATGCTGCAGGCAGAGCAGAGGGCTCCTCTCAGGGGTGGCATCCTGCTGATGCCAGCTCTGAAGCAGCCAAGGATTTCCTGTCTGGGGTGACTGAGCAGAACAGGAATTACTTGGCACAACAGCAGCTGCCCCAAGGGTTTCCAGCTCCTACAGGAACCTGCTCCCCACGGTACCCCCAAGGCTGGAGCTAACACAAGGCTTTAACTCTTGGCTGGAAGCTTAACTGCTTCTCCAGGGGCATTCTCTGAGGGTATCCTATGGCCACAAGGAGCGGGACCAGCCCACTGCCTCAGCCCCTGGCCACAGAATCCCACCCCTCCTGTGTTCTGAGGATGAGCTCGGTGTTTGTGCAGCTTGCGCTGTTCTAGAGCCCCCCAAGCACTGCTGGAGGATGTGAACCCCAGAATGTGCCATACCCGGAGTCCTGCTTGATCCTGCTGGGTTTTGTGTCCTCACTCTTGGCTGTCAGGATGATGCTGAGGTACCTCAGGTCGTAGAGTAACTGCAGAGCTCTGCTCTGGGTCAGGGGGAAGCTGTCTGGCCTCTGCAAATGGGACAGGCAGGAATGGGGCTCCCCCTCGGCCCAAGGGAGAAGATTTGAGAACACCAACCCCAAGGCACAACCAGAGTGTGAAACGTGGTCTGCTCCCCTTCTGCCTGAGTTCTGGGGGAGGCAGGGTGGGTGTAAGGGTGTCCCCTTCCCAGCTGGCACAGACAGGTATTTTCTGTTGCAGGAGCTGGATGTGTCCCTGCATTCCCAGCTCCCATCCCACACCCAGGTACCTTCTCCTGCTTCTGTTCCACCAGCTTTTCATAGGCAGCCAGCACCTCTGCCATGCAGCTCCTCAGCAGCTCCTGCAGCGTCACCTTGGGCAGGGTGTGCCCACCCACCCTGTTCACCTCCTGGCACAGGCTGAACAGGAGGCACTGCGCGTGCCACGAGGGCTGTGCGGGAGAACAGAGGTTATTTGCAGTTGCTCTGTGCGCTCCATTCCCTCCCACATCCCTTCAGATGGGTGGTGGGAGTGTCCCACCTTCTCAGCAGCCACAAAGCTCTGCCCCACAGCTTGTATCTCACAGGGTCTGCTTTACTGACACCCCAGATTTTGGGTTACAGCAGCTCCCAAAGTCCCACAAGGACTTTACCAGACACTGAGTGCAGTGAGAACTCCTTGTGCATCTTCTGCCAGCACAGACCCTGCTCAGCCCACCCACTCCCTGGGCCTCCTGAATTCTCATCCAGCTGCTTTTGCCCTCAGATAATGGAATTTACTGGATAAATTTCACTGCATTTCCATGTCCAGCCCCTCCTGTGCTGTGCAAACACAGAACTCACTCCGGGCCTGGCCCTCCTCCCTCCTGCCACCTGCTCTGTCCCTGTGAGCTCCTTCCTGTGCCACCACCACACCCTTGGGAAGACACACGACTTCCCTGAGGATTCCACAGTCCCACTGCTCCAATTGTCCTGCAGTGCTTCAGCTTCCATGGAATCTTTCCCCTGGGACCTCTATGTTTAAATCAGGCCTAAGTCCTCCTCTGGCTCAGTTTTAGGGGATCTGGGCCAACCTTACTCACAGAGATAAACAGCAACAATGACCCATTTCCTTCCCCTGACCTCTGTCCTCACGAGGTGAGTATCTCAAAGAGCACCAGGGAGTGTTTGTCCTGTGCTTGTGACACCAACCACGCTCCCCAGCAGCTCAGTGAGTGCTTCTGGAGCGCCGTGCTGGGCTGTTCCTCATACCTGCACAGGCAGACGGATCTTTGATGTCACGCTGCTCCCAGACTCGGTTTCCTCCTGGATTTCGATCTCATCCCAGTTGGTGGCCGTGGCCAGGACAGACCCAGCTGTGTCCAGCAGCAAAGTGTGGGTGAAGCACTCAACCAGACCCTGGAGCACAAAAACAAAAGCCCCAATCACAGGATGGTTCTGCCAGGCCCAAACCAGCCAGCCCACCCTGCCTGTGACCTGCTGCACCCCTGCAGCTCCCAAAGTCAATCTTCCAGACACCATCCCCCTGGAGCCACCCCTCTCTGCCCAGGGAGCCCCACCAAGGGAACCCTTCCCCAAAACGCATCTCTGAGGAGGAAAACCGCTCCTTACTTTGGTGACAGCCGAGCTCCAGAGCTGATAAGCCAGCAGGCTCTGCTGCAGGAGCTCTGCCTTCACCTCCTGCCACTTGGCCAGCTCGGGGGACACTTCCTGGGCTTTGCCCTTGCCCAGTTTCTTGGCCGAGCGCGGTTCCTTGGGCGCCAAGGCGGCGCCGCCCGCCTGGCCCAGCACACAGTGCTGCAGGTGAGGGCACAGCTCGGGCAGGGCCTGGCACAGCCTGGCCATGAAGAGCACGGCGTTGAGCTTGGTGTCCCCAGGGGTGTCCCGCCGGCTCTGGAGCTGCTCCCGGACGCAGCCCAGCAGGTGCTGGGTGCAGGCGACGCAGCGCTCACGGAGCAGCCCCTGCACGGTGCCGGCGTCGGCGAAGCGGTCGAAGGCGGGGCGCGCCGGCACCGCCGGCTCCTTGGGGACAGAGTCGTCCCCGGGGAGGTAGGACAGGACATCCTCCAGCCTGGCCTTCAGCTTGGAGTCCAGCGTGGAGCAGAAGCTCTGCACGCACGGGGTGAGCGCCTGCGCCTTCATGGCCAGCCCGCTCCTGGCGAAGGGCCCGCGCTGCCCCACGCTGACCCACGCCGCGTCCCCGGGCAGGTCCCCGGGGCTCTCTGACCACAGGAACAGAGCCACGTTGTGTTCCAGCTGCATCTGCTTGCTCAGGGCACCGCTGCCAGCTTTCACCTCCAGTTCCTGCAAGGCTACAGCCAGCAGCTCCTTGGAGCTGCCTGAAATGGAGTCAAAGCCTTCTTTGGTCAGAGTCTGCAACAGAACCAGGAGAGAGAACAACGTCAGTGTGCCACTTAAACACACCCTCAGCACGCTGTGGGCTGGGTGAAACAACAGCTGGGAGTGCCCCCAGCACAGCACCCACCTGCAGCCTGTCCAGGAAGAGCTGCTGCAGCAGCTCCTCCCAGAAGGACACGGGCCTGTCCAGCAGGCGCCGGCACACGGCCTCCCAGTTGTGGCTGCTGGAGTCGCTGGACAGCAGCTCCCACACGGCGTCACGGATCCCTGCCAGCCCCTTCATGCTCTTCACGTACACCAGCAGGGTCCTGACCCCTGTCCTGATGTCATCACTGCACCTGGAGGTGAATTTCACCCCGGTGAGGGGGGCGAGGCCCTGGCAGGGGTGCCCGGCTGCTGGCTGTGCTGTGCTGCCTCTGGCTTGCTCAAAGGAGGGGGAAGGAAGAGGAGGATGAGGGGATGAGGAGGAAGTCAGCCAGGCTGGGATTGCCCTGGCCCACTCACATGTTGATCCACTGCTGCAGGGTCTCCCTGAGGTACTCCTGGCTGATGGGGTGTGCCAGGGTCCGCAGGGCCGGCTGGAATTCCACCACGGACTCGGGCAGGTACTTGAACCAGCTGCTCAGCTTCAGATCCTCCTCCAGCACCCCTCCTTTCCCTGGAATCCCAGTCAGGGATCAGCCCAGGATCAGCCTCCTGCCTGCACAGCCGGGCAGGGGCAGGGCTCACCTGCGGGGTTCTGGCCCGTGGTGCTCTCCAGGGTGGAGAAGAGCAATCCACAGGGCAGGGCTGGATCCGGGGCCATCCCCTCGGGCACGGTGTAGAAGAGAGCGTGGGCCTGGTACAGTGTGGTGGTGAGCAGCTCCATCAGGGAACACACCTGAGCTTTGATACCTGCACCTGCAGAGAGGTGACTTTGAGCCGAGGCAGCCCTTCAGCACAGGTCAGAGGCACCAAGAGAAGGGCTGGAGGCCAAAAGGACTCAGCCTCGTGCTCCTTCTGCTTCCCCATTACAGCTGGGCTTGCCCTAAGCCCTTGAGAACCGTTAAAAATTATTCATTTATCTGTTAATTGTGCTATTTGGCAGTGTCCCTGCCACCATCAGATTCACGGGAACCACCCATCCCTGCTCCCCGTGGCACTGACCGTGGTGGGGCTGGTTGAGCAGCTGCTGGATGGCCAGTTTCCTGGCCAGCAGAAAGTCAGCCAGGGCCTGCCGTGGGGAGCTGTCCTCCAGCAGCATGATGGCACACAGAGCTTCTGCCACCGCCTGGTCTGAGCCCGTCCGGCAGCGCAGCAGCGCCTTGCTCTCCTGCAGGATGGTGGATCTGCCACGGGAACCAGCTGGGAGTCACTGCCTGAGCCACGCACTCAGCTGGGCTCGTGTGCTGACTGCCAAAGTGCTCCTTTCTCCAGACTGCAATATGGACATTACAGGACCCCTGCGATGGTTTTTGTCCCAGGCTCGTGGAATGGTTTGGGTTGGAAGGGGTTTACACCTGCCCCAGCCCCGGGATCCTGCCTGGGGCTGTCCTGGGGCTCCAGCTGCCGCTGCCTCTTGGGGCAGGTTGAGAATTCTCCCACCTTGCTGCAGCCAGTTTCTGTCCTGCCTTCCCTGGGCTGCGTCTGAGCGAGTGCCACGGGCAGGGAAGGGTTTGGGCTGGGAGGGAACTTTAGGATCAAGCAGCTCCAAATCCCTAGAGCAGGCTGCCCCAAGTCTCATCCAGCTCGCAGCACGGGGCGCTGGGACACTTCCAGGGATGTGACAGCCAAAACTCCTCCGGGTAACCTGTGCCAGGACCTCACCCCCTCCCATCCAGCCCTTCCCACGGGCCGTTCCCGGCGCACCTGAGGTGGCTGGCGGCCGCCACTTGCCGCAGGAGGATGGGGAAGCGGGCGAGGATGGGGCTGGAGCGGGCT